GGGGCACCTCCACCCGCTGGTGCGGGGCTGTCCAGCTGGGAATCGGGGAAAAGCCTCGCAAGATGGCTGAAGCCTTGCAAGGGCTTCTAGCTGCAGGGGGCGAGCCGTGCCTCCCTGCTTTTGGCAGCGTGGGTTTCACCTGTGCCTCGTCCTGATGCTGAGACTGTCCCAATTCCTCCTCCCAGGAAGAGCTGGTTCACCTCTCTTTAATTGTCAGAAAACTTTTAAACTCCTCCCCGTGCTGCAGTTTTTTAGCAAAGTGGCCCTGTCCCCTTCTGGCCCCAGCCGCAGGCTTTGCTGAGCGGGGTGAGTGTGGAGGACACGAGCTTGACCCAAAAAAAGCAGATAGCTTTTCCTGGGATCGTCGTGCTGAAGCAGCTTGTTGGTAGCTCCAAGGAGCAGCAGCAATAAAAGAAAGGGGCAAAAATGGGTGGATGGAGGAGGCAGGCCTGCAGCAGTTAGGTTGGCATGGGCTGCCAGGAAACCTGAGCCAGATTTTCAGGGCCTTGGGCCTGTTTAGGCTAAAGAAGTTTGGCTTTGTCCCACCAGCTCCTGTGCAGTATAGCTACAGAAGTGGTAAGGCAGGAGAGATGGGCTTACACATCGGTGCTTAGTGTGATTTTGCACTTTATGTAGTTAATTCTGAAAGTGCCTGCTGCTGTTGAAACTCTCGTTGAATGACAGTTAGCCTGAAAATCAGAATCTGTGTCACTCCAGCAAACAGAAACGTGCAAAAGGTAGAAAGAGGAGAAGATGCTATAAAATTAATGACTGCCACTAAAATTTCCTTCCAGATAGTTCTTTAGCCTGTTTAACTGCCTTCTGCTGCAAGTGAAAGGAATATCATTGATTAGTCATTTTTTGCAAATTAAGTGAGACAAGATTTAAGCTTTTTTCACTATTCTAATTGTTTAATGTACCCATTGTTTTTCTATAGATATAACTTGAAGGAATAACATACATTATGCTTTTGTTTTAGGCAGAGAGGAAAAATTTTGTATGCCTCTGTGGAGGTGTGAGTTTTCCTTCACTCTTCAGGTATATATTTATGAAATATTTAAGAGAGGCAGGCTAAACCGGACGAAGGTCTGAACTGCGAATGTGCCAGTTAAGCTGAAACCAAAGTCATGTGGAAATGAATGAAGCTAGAGTAAATTTAGCTGCTGTTCCGAAAAAGAGTGCTTACAGAAGAGATTTGGTGTGCTTTGAGATTTAATGTTCGTTTCATTTGATCTATTTAGTGGGCTAATCATATAAGCTCAAAGTTCAAATTTTGAGTTTACTTATTAACTCTTTTTAGTTTGACCTTTACTTTACTTGCACGGGTTTTTTTGTTGCATGGTTAGAATTTTTCATTTTTCACTTTTTTCCCTACCAAACAAGAAGCTTATGTGCTTTTCTAATGGTTGAGGACACTTTACTGCTGTGTTCCAAACTGATCATCGAAGTCTTCTGTTTTTCTTTTTTATTTTTACCTTGCTTTATAAACAAAGCTTATACAGTATTATTATCCTAAATAAAAAGAGATTGGTTGGCTTCTTCGTGACATCTGTAATGACACAAGTGTCCAGCTTGGATTTGAGACTGTGTCGTTCTCTGTTCTTGTAGTTCGTTACTAATTTCCAATGACATCCCTATGGGTTTAATGTCTTGACCTAAAATGATTTGATTTCTTAGAACGTGTCCTGAGAGATTTTTGTAAATACTCCTAATGCTAGCTGAAATTCTCTGGGGGTTTTGAGTGATAATTAATGGAAAAATACTTCCTATTTGCGTTTTACTCAAAATTTTTACTCAAAATCGCTCTGCTGAGGTGTATAAAATTTAGGCCGCCTTCAAAGACAAACCATTTTCTCTGAGACTTGCTTCTTTTACACATGTTCAGGCATAAATAAGAGGATCACTACAATTGAAACCGCTTGAAATACGACGTGATGTATAGTGGACAGATTTTAGCAGATCTACAGTCAGAACCTCTGTTTTCTTTCATGTACAAGTTTAGAAAATACACAAGGACTTGCAGAAGGGTCGTTTCTGTAGTGGGTGTAAGGAGTCCAGCCTGGAGGAAGAGCTGGAGAGGAGCATTTTGAACTCAAAAGAGCAGCTGCACTGCTCTGGCACTAATCACATAGGGAGCTCTGTTTAAGAAGTTATCTTGTCCAGCTTCTGCAACGTCCCTTGTCTGATTGGGGTTGGTGCTACAAGTGAAAATTAAAAATTAATTAATTGGGGGGAAAAAAAAAAGTGGGCGGGGAGAGAGTATCTATGGGGAAGCTATGGGAGTGAGAAAACAGACAAAGCAGGCTGGAAATGCTTGGAGTAAGAAAAGTTCCACGTAAAATGTTAGCAAGAAGAATGCTGCCTGTTTCAATGGCTTCTTTTGAAGTTTCTCCATCTGACTTGGTAAAAAAATAATTGCTTCTAATAAAAGCTAGTACAGGCTGCTCTGAATCTTACAGATCTAAAATATATGTACAATTGTAAGATTGCTGTGAAAAGACTTAACGGTGTCTTAAATGCACTTATTTGAGAACGATACAGAGTAACTACGGTGTTCTTCCCACAGTAACAGCAGTAACAGGGAGCAAATTCAGTAACAATTGCCTGTATGAGTGGCCTTATTAATTTGCCCCATATTATTTTGCCTTAATTTTACATAGATCTAAACAGGGTGCGAAATAGACTCTATAGGAAATGTGAGGGGGAGGGAAGGGAATCGGTCGCTTTTGCCAGCTAGGATGCAACTTTTTTACTTCAACTGATGGCTCTCTTCAGGTACTTTGAATGGGATGCTGTAATGCTGACACCGTTTCTAACGGGTCCTTAACACTGGCCTTCTCAGGAATGATACAGTGGCTGTCAGAAACAAACACACTCAATATGATTGAAAAGCCGCTATGCTATCACAGAAATGCATACCGATGAGTAAACTACACATATACGCTTTAGATTTATACTTCTGTTTGAAGTAAACTGCTCCTTTTGCTCCTGTACTTTACCAGTCTGTAGATGATTGCACAGGAACTAGTGATACTCTCAGCAGAACGCCTAGTGAGCCACTGCTGTGTCACTAAGCACATCGAGAGCAGAACAAAATGCTCCTGTAACTTGTATTTGCTGTTTAAAATATTTTCAAAGAAAACCGAACAAAACTAACCCCAGTAAAACCACCCTCCCAGTGTGTAAGCCTGCAAATGTGCCGTTGTATTTACGTGAGCAACATTTCTGAAATACCAAGTTTGTTTCATTTTAGCCCGCAAATTCACAGACAAGCATGAATGGATATCAGTTGAAAATGGCATTGGAACAGTAGGAATCAGCAATTTTGCACAGGTATTGATTTCCCCCCCCCTTACCCAAGTTTCCAATATTTATTTACGTGTACTTGCTCTTGTCCTTGCTCTTTGGACGTTACTGGGGTTTATTGTTCTAATCGCATGGGCTATACGAGGAGCGTGATTTGGATCTATCACATTATTTATGAAGTGAATGCTGCTTCAGCAGTCTGATAAATTCTTAATCGCTTCAGATTGAGCCTATGGAGAGCTGAACTTGATGAGAAACGTAATGGTACAGCAGAATTTAAAACCTCTTTTGTTACTTCAGTTCTTGCAGGCACGAGGAATTTGTGGCTATGTGAAGAGGTTATTGTGCAATTTTTAGCCAGGTTTCCCTTGAACATGAATATGGTGCAATCCCTATGGCTAAAGAGTAGAAGTACAACATGGCACGTATTTCTTGCTCTAGGACAGGAATTGCTTTGGATTTGTTGTTTTGCTTTGTTCTCATGCAAGTACTTGATTTGGAATAGTCACAGGACAGAGATTCATGTGAAACTTAAGAAAGTCTGATGTGAGAAGCTATCGATGAAGCTGAATGAATGTTTCTTAGGACAAGCAGCACTTCCCATAACCTCAGCTTTCTGTAAATAACATTAATACTCTGTAAGATCCCTAGACTTTTGTGAGATGGGGTACATTTGTCAGTGACGAGGCAGAAGCCTATTCTGGTTGAGCTGATTGTTATGGTGATAAGGCTCCTTATTAGGTCCGTAAGGACAAACTGTACACTAACAGCTCTCCAGTTGGCCGTGTGTCTGGGGAGGAATCATTGCGTTTTCTTTCAAATTGCACTGGAAGATCCTTTGTGCTTTGTAACAAAAAGACAATTCCCTCAAATCATGGGAACTTTGTCCTTTATGACAGTTGTTACTCTAGCTGATGCTAAGATTGGCAGATGTTATTTCTCATTCTGCCTGGAGAAATCTGTGTACAACCCTTGCAACTCAGCCTGAGGGTTATTAACACTGTAACGGATAAACAATAATTTGACATTTGAGGCATGACAGCAAACCATTTTTTTCAAGGTAAATGTTTAAAAAGAAAATGTGAAAAATACGCAGTCCTTAAAGAATGAGAACTAAATTTATATTGCTTCTATGCAGATTCTAGAGTTACTGTATCAGACATCTCCTATGTATTGTTTCTTTAATGTATGCTTTGATGCTTTTGTTTTTCATTTAAGGAAGCGTTAGGAGACGTTGTTTACTGTAGTCTTCCAGAAATTGGGACAAAATTGAGTAAACATGGTAAGTTTCAGCTCTAATTTCTAACAGAGTAATTATTCTACTCATCCTACTCTCCCTTTGCAAAAATGAATTTTGTGAAGTAATCTTTATGTTCATTAATACCATTTTAAGTCTTCTGGATGCAAAATAAATTCAGGTATTTCTACAAGAGACAACTTTAATTCCAAATTCTCAGTGTCAGACCATGCATGGTAGCAGAAAATACCTGGTTATTAAACTATGAAGACATTTATTTAAAAATCAAATATTTGAAATATATTTTTGTAAACATTTTATCTATGTTCTGGTTTTAAAATATTTATGCTTTGATTTGGACTTGCTAGTATTTAGGATGGCTTATTTGTAATTCTGCAGTTATGCATTTCATGAGTTGCATGATGTGAAACATCTTATTGATAGCAAGCTAATTTTTCTGTGACTATACAGACTCAGTAATTTCTGGTTATCAGCTGCAATCACAGGTTTTTGCTCATTAGTGATGTACAAATTGTTACTTTCTTAATCATTCAGTTATGTAATTTTCCATGTTCAAGAAGAGCGAGCGTTAAGGGGTAGAAAGGAAAAGCCTACTCCCGTATTTACATGGAGAGCTGTCTCGATGGTATATGAAGTAAAGATTGTCAATAGCTTCAGATGTTGCAGAAAAATGTAGATTTAATGAGCAAAGTAGCAGGCCCTTTTCTTGCCACCCTTCTTGTTGACTAGGTCTGTATCAAACTGTTTTGGCCAAATCTGTTACATCGCATTGAATGGTGAAAGTTAGACAAAAGGTCTTTCTGTTTAGGGTTTTAAGTAACCAACTCATAGTTTTGTTTCATCTGAAGGAATTTCATTTCAATTTAGTTTTTCTCTTTTCTGCTCGTTCTGGCCTTAGTCTAATTCCAAGCTTTTCCGGAACACATTGTTCTCTGATTCCTTGTGTGGATACCTGTCTGCTCTTCTGACAGCTCCGTGTTCCTCCAGCCTCTGTCTTGTTTGCTTGTGGCTTAAGTTACTCTGGACTAACACTGCTTCAGGCACCATCTCCCTAACTGCCTACAAAACAGAAGGAAGGGAAGAGCAGCTGGGTGATTCCAGTGTGGTGCTTCTGAATACTGAAGTGTGTTTTCCAGTGAGGGCAAATGTAACACTTGATAGTGTTTCTGAAGAAAAAATGGAATTCCTGAAACTGTGGCCTTGTCTATTTTGTAACCAAATTATGCATAAAAAGGTTTGAATTCTAGATAAAAGGCATATTTAGGTCTCTTGCAGCAAGAACTGGATGTGGTTCCTTCTAACCGGATACCATACGCTGCAGGGCTTTAGCCAAAGGATTAGCCAAGCACAAGACAGACACGGACTTGCTTGAGCGGGTCCAGAGGAGGCCACGAAGATGCTCAGGGGGCTGGAGCACCTCCCCTGTGAGGACTGGCTGAGAGAGTTGGGGTTGTTCAGCCTGGAGAAGAGAAGGCTCCAGGGAGAACTTAGAGCGCCCTTGCAGTGCTGAAAGGGGGCTACAGGAAAGGTGGGGAGGGACTCTGGATCAGGGAGAGCAGTGACAGGACGAGGGGTAACGGTTTCAAACTGAAAGAGGGGAGATTCAGATGAGATATCAGGAGGAAATTCTTCCCTGTGAGGGTGGTGAGACACTGGCACAGGCTGCCCAGAGGAGCTGTGGCTGCCCCCTCCCTGGCAGTGCTCAAGGCCAGGCTGGATGGGGCTGGGAGCAACCTGGTCTGGTGGAAGGTGTCCCTGCCCATGGCAGGGGGGTGGAACTAGAGGATCTTTACGGTCCCTTCCAACCCAAACCGTTCGATGATCTATGATGGAAATGTAAGAAATTTCCATCCCTTCTGTAGTAGCCAGCTAGCTAGTGTTATGCAAGTTCCTCACAATAATTCAGGAGCATAAATATCAAATTTAATGCTGCTCATTATTATCATAAACCTGGTGACTTAAGGGGTTTTGACAGTTTTCCTTGCTCATGATCAAGACGCTTCTTCAATGGTCATCACCAGAACATCTGACTAAAAAAACTACAGTGCTTTGTATTTTCCTCTTAAAAGCATTCAATTGTATTCTGTGTTTCAGATGAGTTTGGGGCTTTGGAAAGTGTGAAAGCTGCTAGTGAGCTTTACTCTCCTCTCTCAGGAGAAGTGACTGAGATTAATGCTGCCCTTGCAGATAATCCAGGGCTCGTCAATAAATCTTGTTATCAAGATGGTAAGATGTCATTTTTATCTTTCAGTAATGGATACCACCTGGATTCTTGCTATCACAAATGGCTCTGCAATTCCTAGTTCTTCCAGATTAATAGTGCGGAGGCTTGGATAGAATATATTGAATATAGTTCAAGCCCAATAAAATTTAAAATGAAAGTATCATTGTAGCTTTGTCTTTGCTGACAGCTGGTTTACAATGTGTTCTTTTCAGACATAGACTGTGGTTGTATTTAAATCTATTTCCCTTGATCACGTTTCTCTTTTTTTGTTGTTGTTTTTTTTTTGTTTTGTTTTTGTTTTTTTCTTCTTGTAACAGCTCATGATACTGAGAGGTCAGGCTCTTTTTATTCTTTCTAGACAGCGTCTCCTTAATGCCGCTGTCTGAGACAGTACTAAATTAGACAACTGGTCTGACTCAGAAGGCCATTTCTTCTGGCAGGTTGGCTGTTCATTTTTTAAAGTACTGAAATGTTGTTTTGCCTGCACAAGAAATCCTGTTGATTCTACCAGAGTTGCAGGGCTTGTGTGCCCACTGTGAGTACTTTTCTAAGGCAGTAACTTGAATGAATCTTTCTTGTAGGATGTTAGCAACTGTTTTTCTTTCTGATTTCCTAACTACAGGTTGGCTTATCAAGATGACTGTGGAAAACCCTGCCGAACTTGATGAACTGATGAGTGAAGATGCCTATGAGAAATACATAAAATCCATTGAGGACTGAGCTGGAATAATGAAATAAATCCATATAAATTATTTCAGTGTAGTTTGTCATCAATCAGTGAAGTATAGAATATCCAGTTTTGGCAGCCTGAAAAAGACCACTTATGATCACATATACAAGGCCATAAATAATTGTGGGGATAAAAATGTTTAAGATCTGCATACCTGCGAGGGGTTTTTATTCTATTGTCTGATTTATGTAACTGCAGGATGTTATCTATAATATTTTGGGAAACAATTTTATTTGCTGAAAATACATACTTCCCAAGATTCATTTGACAATCGAATTTCATAATAACAGCCTTAATATGGTAATTCTGTAGTAGGCACATGACTCTTCTTGTAACCTGGACTACAGCTTTCCCTGAAATACTTTTCTGTTGCTCCCAAGATACTGAAAAGCAGTGTCTCCCTAACCTCCTAATATTTTTCCTAATGATAGTTGCAAAGGCGATACCAAAAAAGGAGAAGCCGTATCAACTACCTCTTCGCATGCCTTTTACTTCTTTACAGAATTTATTAATCTTTTGTTTTCCTTCTTCATTTTACTATGTAATGAAATAGTTCTGCCTTTGAGGCAGAAGGTGTGGTCCTTGTCTTCTGACTTAGATGCTTTCTTATGCAAAACTCACATGAGGATAGTTTATCAAGGTTCTAGAGGGGATTGTTTAGGCTGTATTTTTTGTTTAGTAAACACTACCTGTGTAATTCTACATCTTGTGCCTAGTAATTGTGGTGATTTCGGAAGAGTAGATGCTTGTGAAAATTGTGTGGTCGTAACAGTTTGACATGTAATGTGTCCGTATGTGTGTGTGTGTCACACTGCTGTAATGACATCACAGGAATGAAGCTAAAACTTTCACTTTGCGAACTGGTAAACTAAAGCAGCTGATTCCATTAGACTTAATATTTAATGAATCCACAAATGTGCACTCAAAGTGCACATCTAAGGGTAAGGTTGAGTTGTACAGACCTGCACTTCAGGAAAACGTAATGGTACAGCAGAGTTCTGGTCTAGAACTTTTATCCACAGTTTTAAAATGGCAATTAGAAGCCAAGTACAAAATAGGAATAAAACCCAAGTATCTGTAAGTTGATCTGAGAGAGGCAGCAGGAGAATGTTTAATCCATATAAGATGACAAAGGCAAAATCCATACTGCTTTGGAAGTTCCTCTCAAAAGCACAGCCCTTCTAAAGGGCAGAAATACACTGCAGGTGATACAGAAACCTTTCTAATGTACAAAAATGTAGGGCTTGCTTTTACAATCTGAAGGGATGTCAAAGTAATTGGTGTGGTTTTGAAATCCTAGGAGCTAACTTTTCCTACACAAGTCACAGATAAAAGCCCTGCTAAGAGAGACTCCACTGTGTATTTAAGATAAAACCATCTTCTCCATAGGAGTTAAACTGCAAAGTGACTAAGAGGAAAAGAAAGAGTGCGTTTGACTGTTCCACAGGAGTCCGGACTTGGCAGTGGCTGAATAAACAAAAGGCTCCAGTAAACCTAGTGTCAATGCTTTAAAATCTGTCAGTTCGTATCCATTATTCACAGTATCATGCAGTATTTATTGTGACAACATTCAGGGCCCAGAGAGCTGGGAGCTTGATCCTGGCCTCTTGCAGACTCCCTGTGCCAGTTTGGATCTTTGACCTCCCTGTGCACTTTCCAGAGGGAAA